ATATATATATATATATATATATATATATATATAATGTGGCGCATATTATATACATACACACACACACATACACACCACTTTAATAACCACACTTGAGCTCTGGCTTTCATCCAAACGTTTTATGTATGTGTATATATTTATGTATGTGTATATGTGTATATATACCGCACCAAAACTAATAAAATGTAACTAAAATGCATCTTAGTAGTATTTTGCTTTATCTGTGTGTTTTAACAAATTGTTGATATTTTTATGGTTGTTGTTATTCCTATTTCCTGGTAAATAAAGCGAATAAATAAAGCGTCCTTTCGACTCCAGAGAATCTCTGCTTGATCTTAATATCTTTTATTAGATTTCGACACAATAATCCTCTCTACGACAACGGTGGGGTTATTATTATAATTATAATATTATTTTTTTTGCCTCGTTTTACATTTTGTAAATATTGTGGCATCAATGCAAATCCGCATTGACAACCGTCATGCACAAAAAATAAATACATTTCACCTCGTACAGAAGAAAAGAAGGAAAAAATAAACCCCTCGAATCCCACCTTCGTCAGGAAAGTGCTTTGAAAAACTCAACCCACCCCCCCAAATTCCTTCCCTTACATTAATATAGATAGATCACTTTTAAATAATAATAATAATAGTAATAATAATAAATTAAAAAACTGCACATTTGGTTGCCAGTTGCTACAAGTGAATGGGGCGTGGGGGGGAAGAAGGGAGGAAATAATCCAGGATAAATATCATATATATATATACACATATAGGTATTTATAGATCTATCTCTTCCGAAAAGAAAAAGGGTTTGCAGCGATGTAGTATCTACAATAAAAAGGAACTCTCATCACAGCTTTTTCCACGTTTGCCTTCCAGATCCAGAAGTAAGCCTTTGGGATGAGAAGCGAGTGCAGATCCCAATGCAAATGGGCAAATTTTGGACTTGAGATCCCATCATCCTCTGAGATGTGGCTTGGGAACTTATGGGACCTCAAGTCCGTAAGGGTTGCAGGGTGGGGAGGGGTTCTGGGACTTGCGACCCCAACATATATATATATAAATGCATCCATTCACATGGATGCCCAAGGGGGAGTCTCTCATTGGGTATCAGGCATTGATTGCAGTTCTGGGTTTGAGCCTGCCACTTTTGGACTCTTGCTTGCTGAGGTGTTGCAAATTAAAAGAGAGGGTCTTTTTGTTGAACGCAGATGTCCCTTTTTGTCAACTTTTTTTCTGGCTTCAAAGGAAAACGGAGAGGAAATGCTTTGCAAGGGTTGCATCACCAAGAGGCAGAAATCCATGCTTTAGATTGGGCAAGGGCCAACTCAGGCCTTCCAGGTATTTTGGACTACAACTCCCATAATTCCTAACAGCCGGTAGGCTTTTTATTTCCTAACGAACACTGAGACCTTTTCTTCCCAAACGAACAAATCCAGAATATAGACTTGGGAGGGAAGCTTTCCTGCAAATGCCATCATGCTTTTGTCTCTTGGGATAGTAAGCTCCGTGTTTTTCGGAATCGCACACTGATGGTGCAATATAGATAAAGGATCAATATGGGAAAGAAGGTGGTGTTGCATTGCATAGCATTGCATTGCACTGCACTGCTTTGAATTTTGGGATTGCAAGCCCAATGCAACAGGGACGTGTGTTCTTCAGAACTGCACACTGATGATACAGGATATATAAAGGACCAATGTTGGGAAGAGCGTGTGCTGCATTGCATTGCATTGCTTTGCTTTGCTTTGCATTGCATTGCATTGCACTGCTTTGAATTTTGGAATTGCAAGCTCAATGCGGCAGAGACGTATATTCCTCAGAATTGCACACTGATGATGCAGTATATATAAAGGATCAATGTGGGAAAGAACATGTGCTGCATTGCATTGCATTGCACTGCTTTGAATTTTGGGATTGCAAGCTCAATGCGGCAGGGACATGTATTCCTCAGAACTGCACACTGATGATGCAGTATATATAAAGGATCAATGTTGGAAAGAGTGTGTGCTGCATTACATTGCATTGCTTAGCATTGAATTGAATTGCATTGCTCTGCATTGCATTGCATTGCATTGC